GGCAACGACGCTACTGTTTGGCACGGCAATATCGCAAGGCGCATTTATGCCAGGAGGTGTGCGACGTGCCCGAAATACATTCTCTTCGGGCTGTGCAACATTGGCAACAGAATCGTGGCTGCGCACGTCGTCGGATCAAAGGGTAGATGACTCTAATCAACATGATTTTAGTTTCTTATTCTCCATCGGTCGTAGGGAAAGTTAAAGTATCTCCTGTGTCATATGTGTTATAGCGATTGTAAGACTCTCGTTGTACATGACAAACTATAATATCGTTGCATGGTAGAATTGCTGGAGAACCATGGTACCACTCTGAGTCAATGGCGTTCGTTAAATAAGACCACTCTTCGCCTCATCCTGAGGTCGCTCTTCCACTACAATAGTATCAACAAGCAATTCACTACCTCATTACTGTTTTCATCATGTTCGACGGGCACAATCCGTATCGATGTATCGGAAAAGGCTTTTGCGGCAGCGTTTGGATCGCCGAGGAAGACAGCACAAGCGTCGTCAAGCGCGAGGACGGAGGCCCTGGACGATCGATCACGAACGACTACAACATGCATCTCGAGATCAGTCAGAGCATTGAACAACACTCGGCTTCTATGCCGCTCGCAATACCTCAATGTTATCAGCTTATCCAGCCGAGCGACCTGTCCTGGTGGGATCTGTGTCTCCATCGCTTCCCGACTAGCTATGAAGAGTGCAGAGCGCTCATATCGGAAAGAATCCCAAAGTACCCCGATCAGTCAGCGACAAGATCGTAGATCTATCTCTGCCTGAAAACCCAACAATCGCTGCCTTTGTGAAGGGTAATAAAGATGATGATGATTGTCTCATTCGACCCTACCTAGGGCGGCGGAGGGGGAATAGATTGACAAGCACATCGCGTTTCCAGCGTTTCAGCCTCCGAAACGTTGCGCTGCATATCAACCAGATGGAAGATCTTGGCCTCGATGTTGTCGCTTATGCGATGACTATGGCGGATGCGCTTGCCTTGATGTACTGGGGTGCTGGAGTCGACGTGGATGATGTCGAATTCGTTCTTGCGCCTCCCAGATCCATGTCATCGCCAACCTTCCTATCAGAGTCTCTCGGCGAGCATGTCATGTGGGTTCTGGACTTTGATCGTGTGAAGCATATGTCTATGGATGAAAATGGGCTGGAGCAAGCGTGTGCTGCATTCTTCAGAAACGATCCTTACTACCCCCGACCAGGTGGCGCTGAGGCAGCTGACGGTGAACTTTGGGAGGCTTTCAAGGCGAGGTTCTTGGGGACAAGCTTGGAGGTATTGGGAGATGGAAGTCCCCATTTGGATCTTCCACAGATGCTGATGGGAATGATCGAGCAGGAAGGATATAGGAGGCGGGCGAGGAAAGAGAAGATTGAGAGTTCGGGTAGTCACATCGAATGAGGCTACAGTTAGGAGCGGGTTACAGATGATGCTAGCGTCTGGTGTATTTCAGTGAAGTAGAGAAGGTTCAAAGATCATGTTATAGAAGACTGATATTTGCGCGTCGTGTGACAATTAAGTAACGAGTCCGTATTTATGGAATACCCTGCAGATCTCATAGTAGCCATACCTTTGAGCAATAACGAATATTTTCCGTACTTCCGGCGCGCCCAAAGCAGCGATGCTGGGTCTCAAGAGCGACTTAACGCAATCCAGGTGTCCTGCGGACGTTGCTAAAGACAACGGAGTTTGTCCTGTGTGCGTTCGTATAGAGAGGTTGGCTATGCTACGAAGGTGATTCACGATTCGCAGACGCCCATTTTGTGCTGCGATAGCGACTGGGGTGAATCCTTCATTGTCTTGTCGGTCCAGTAGTGGATTGCCGCTATGCAAGAGTTCCAGGATGTCCAGATGCCCGTTGGATGCCGCATACCAAAGAGGGCTACGTCCGCGGACATCTGGCATATCGAACTGGTAATCGCTCAAATACTCGACAATGTTTCTTTGCCCTCGCATGGCCGCAAGCCCAATAACGTTACAGTCCCAGCCGTCCTCCAAGGCCGTAGTATTTGGGTGGGTGTCGCGGTGAATATGAAGGAGCTTGACAATATGCAGATGTACAAAATAGGCAGCCCAGAGCAATGGCGACCGACGCGAAATATCTGTACTAGTATCGTATCGACTGTCCATGTGGACATGAGTTCTCGATTCCATCTTCCAAATAGTCCTACAGACTTCTATATCTCCAGATATTACCGCAACGTCGAATGGATACAGACCGTTGGCCGCCTTGACATTTGGATCGACATTGGCTCGGAAAAGTTGGTATATGCGGTTGTGGTTTCGTTCGCAGCAAGCAAGATACAAGCTTGATCGCGCAAGAACATCAAGGGTGTATCTGTCGTTGGGTCGCCATTCCTTTAAGACCTTCGCGTCATACAGGATGTGGGATACAGATCTACCAAGGCAATCTGGGTCATTACTCTGGTAAAACCGCGATGCAATCATGGGTATCCTAGCGAACGCACATGGAATGAACAATTGCGAGGACTTTAGACAACTCGGCGCCTGGAACTGTGGTGAATCGAGGAGTCGGCGGGCCGCCAACAGAAATTCATTTCTGTACAGCAGGAATGGTTCGGCGTTGTCACGGAGCAAATCAGGCCGGTCGCGGAAAAGCTTGATTTGTAGCACATGCGAAAGACCTGGGTAATCACAAGGACTCCATGAGGTTGTTTTTCGGAAGGCAGTCGTCAGCGCAACATGATCGTCGGTCCAATTAGCTGATTTTGCGACATGCTTGCTTCCCAGAGCAGCTTGAGCATTGGAGACATTAGGTCCAGCTTCCAAGTCAAGCGCAAGTGACACGAGCTTATCAGCAAAAGAGTGTAGTTCTTCCACAAGATGCTGTAATTGCGGCATACAGTCGCGCGGGTTTGGATATCGCGTGTCGTGTGTAAATGGCTTGGTCATCTCAGTGGCTATTGTAATGAGTTCTTCAACAGCCATGGTGACAACTTCAGCTATTGACAGAAGTAAGACGCTGCAGGTTTTTAGCAGGCAAAAGACCAATATGGTCGATTTTGGGCTACGCACGCTCGTGTCTTGGGTATTGCAGTATTCCCTCGGGAACATTCAGGTTCTGGCCCATGGTACAGGTCCCCAGCAGGAGCATCTTTTGGAGCTAGATGACGAAGTTCGGCCACCCGGTGTTCGCTACGTACGAGAGAAACTATGGAGGGTCTGCTGCGTCGGACAGCTTTTTGCGCCTCTGAGCACGGGTGCCCCTGAGCTTTGCACCTATCGCATCTTTCCGCCGGCCACACACGTTGTACTGGCAGACACTATGTTTGTTAGACCACCCGTTGTCGGAACATTACCACAAGCGTCTTACCCTCTTTTTGTCCTCGCGGCATCTATCGCACTTTAGTCGGGTCCGACCTGTAGTAGACATCACACCGCTAAGCCCTGGTCGTGAGGAAGATATTGGAGAGCCCAAACGGAATTATTAGCATTCTGTGAAACTTAAGTGAGTCCAGTTTTCACTGGGCTCAGAAACATCGGTGTCAGTATGTATGCTTGGAGTCCTTCGATGCAAGGCACGGCCAATCAAGTGGTGTCGCTTCTTCACCGGCCAATGGCGCATGTTACGCGGATGCAGACACCCTTCCCCGCGTCAGCCATACGTCGGTTGGCATTGCAGCAGAAAGTGGCTTGACTGGAAATTGCGTCCACCAATGTCGCATTACGAGCAGTAAGCGTAGATCCACAAACTTGCGACGCTGGAGATAACCTCGGTGATCATAGTGTTTTCACCAGCAATCAGTATCCAATAGCGCACTTCGGAAGGATAACACGCATCCGCGATGCGCGACCGATGAGACCTGATTAAATCCTCACATAGCCTTACCATGTGTCTATCCAATAGCGCATTGGAGTTGTTGTTGCCGCAACATTTTGAACGTATGTCGCATATTCGCAGATACTCGAAGCTCCACACACCGCAGAACCAAGATGTCTTCCAATGCGCTCGTGAATGCAGTAACGAGAACGTAGATGCGTCGTATCGACTCTACAAATGGTATAAGAGTCGTCTCTAGCGAGGTGTGAATCAGATCAAGGACCAAACTCCCCAATAAACACTCAATAACTCTTTCTATCAGACATCTCATCATTTGTTTCATCTAGTATTGGAGTCATTGACGTCACACCCTCAGCGACTGAAGTCAGCATTATGGATATCACTTTGCGGTCTAGTTCGGCAGATACCGAGCTCGGCTTCGATATAATCGGAACCTATCTTGCAGCGACAACGGCCGTTATTGGATTCCTTGCTCTTGCGGGTACTGTTCTGCGCCAGCGTCGGCGCGCTGTTGCGACCGATACCTATGAACTCGATGCTACGACAGCATAGCCTGTAAGCTGAGATTGAGAGAGACAGTCATGTCTAGCCTACTAATCTTTTTGTATTCCAGGTATCTCCTTCGCCGCTGGTGGTTTGGCGCGGAAGAAGTTATGGTATAGGAATAACTGGACACGTTGGCCTGTGAATGGTGGCACAAGCGTGGATCGCAAAGGGGGTTTCCAGTGTTTTTCCCTTCTTTTTGGATGTGTTGGAACGAAGCCTATTTAGAAGAAGAGCTCTTGCAGACTCCGAGTATACAACAAGACCAGACTGGGTGTGACATGCCTGATGACAATGACAGATGAACCAGGCTATGTCGGGTAGTTTAGCAAAGAAGCAGCAAGGATTTGCATTGTCACCTAGAGAGAACGTTATTATGTCAGCGTCTAAGTGTGTGTGGCTGTGTGGTGTGTGGCGAGCAAAAAAGTTGGTGTTGTGGCGGAGAATGGTGAGGGTCTGGGCAGGAACCGGAAGCTTAGCGCATAATCCGTGCAGGGTGACGTACCCACCTTTCGGTCGCGCCTGCCCGCCTAGAGGCAGCATCCCTCGCGCCTCGACTCTCGCCATGTGCCAACACGGAATATTGCTCCCATACACAACAGACGATTGCCGGAACCATGGTGCGCATGAAAGGGAAATGACATGGTGGACGTTCGAACTGACGACCGTAGGCATCGCTACTGCGACAACTTGTAGCCGGGCCTCGCGCCAGGCATGCTGAAGCCGGCCTCGATCTGTGCTATGTGACAGACAACAGTACAGCCGCTCCACGACTCGCAGCTTTGTTCGCGCTCTGACACCAGCCAGTAATCGCTACATCAGGCCCCAGCGGCACTTACCCCCAGCGCGCGTATCGCAACCCGCTCGATTCACTCGTCAAGTTTCTCGACTCCAAACATGGCGAAGACTGGGCTATATGGGAGTTCCGCGCCGAAGGGACGGGCTACCCAGACTCAGAGGTCTACAATCGCGTCTACCACTACCCTTTTCCCGACCATCATCCGCCGCCTTTCGCCCTCATACCAAACATCATGGCCAGCATGCGCAACTGGCTGCACGAGAAGAAGGGCAGGGTCGTCGTAGTACACTGCAAAGCCGGGAAGGGGCGGTCGGGCACTGCTAGTTGCAGTTATCTGATCAGCGAGGAAGGCTGGCCGGTGCACAAGGCTCTGGACCGCTTCACTGAGCGGCGCATGCGGCCGAACATGGGCAAAGGCGTTAGTATCCCCAGTCAACTGCGCTGGATAGACTACGTGGACCGCTGGGCGAAGCACGGCAAGATATATGTAGAGCGACAGGTGGAGATTCTCGAAGTGCATTGCTGGGGCCTCAGAGACGGCGTCAAGATCCAGGTCGAGGGCTTCGTCGAGGACGGCAAGCTCATCAAGAACTTCCATACCTTCACACGCGACGAGAGGGAGATTGTACGGGGTGAGGTCAAGACTACTGGCATGGCACAGGCGGTGCAAGAGGTCATGTACAAGAACGGCTTCGGCCCGTCAAAGACTAGCGAAAACTCCAAGAATGCTTCCACGTCCTCCCTGGAACAGCAGAACAACATCGATGGCACCACTGCCGAGCCGAGAGCATCGCGCGAGAGCCTGCCCATGGGCACCGGCGATGTCGTCTTCCGTCCGTCCAAGCGTGTAGTTCTTCCCACAAACGATGTCAACATCGACGTCGAGCGCCGTAACAAAGCTGCCTTCGATCTGACTATGGTCACCGCTGTCGCGCACGTCTGGTTCAATACATATTTTGAAGGCAATGGCCCTGAGCAGAACGGCAACGTTGACCAATCCGGCATCTTCGAGATTGCATGGGAGGCCATGGACGGCATCAAAGGCTCATCGCGGAAAGGCACACAAGCTTTCGAGCGCATAGCAGTAGTCTGGCGCGCGCTTTCTAGCGACGAAGGTCGACCTGGTGTTGTCATCACAGAACCGAAAGAGGGAGAGCCGGTCTCACAAGCGGGACCCGCAGATTGGAGGGGTACTAAGGGTGTGGAGCCGTCCGAAGACAAAGATCTAGGTGTTCGTACAGCCAGTCCACCCAACGCTGATTCAGACATCAGTCGAGCAAATAGCGTCCGAAGCGAAAACAAGAACAACGCCAACATCGTCAACGCTCCCGGACGAAGAGATAGTGGAGACAGTGACACCAAGGATGTCCGATCACATGGTCCAAATGGAGAGGAAGTTTTGACAGAGCCAAATGGTTCCCGCGCAAGTACAGAGGCTAGCGGCAGTGGGTCAACAGCGCCAGCCTCGCACCCCACACTATCAAATCGTCTAGATAACTCTAGCAATGCTGCTAGTGACTCGCAGGCCATCGACCAACCTACTGGGTCACACAAGAGCGGGGGTCATGTCAGTGGAGTTGCGGAGAGCCTCAAGTATCACATCTCAGGAGCAGCTCACACCAACGATCTACCTGATGGAAAGCCTGAGAGTGAAATGAAGGATGCGAAGGAGCACGGATTGGGACACATGACTTTTGGCAAGAAGAAGTCAAGCTCGTGAGTGCTTGTATCGTTGCAGCGACGGCAAAACTCGTGCATTGCATCGATAAAGCTGCACATGGCTTCGGGGAACGCGGGGCGTTATTTGGAGAACTTGCATGACAGATTAGGAAGCTTGCGTTTGGCGCCTGGTCAGCGTATCACATGTGTGCACGAAGCGTGTCTGGCGCATGTTGCATGGTGCCGTATGCATTGATGGGGCGTTGTAAAACGCGATTCTTTCGTTGTCAGACACTGCTTTGGTCCTGTACGAGTCTCTAAGATTGAGGTTGGCTTCGCTGTTTCTCAGATATACCATTTGTCTTCCAGCCACTAGAGAATGCTAGATACTTCCGATGAAAGCTTCCTTGTCACAGTGGCGCTCATTGCATATGCGAATCTACCACATATATTGAGAAAGAGTGAGGCGAACTGTCGAGGTGCTCGCTAATGCACCCGGCGCATTCCTTCCGGCGTCTGGCCACTGACCACGATACACGAACCACCATCACCACTGCAGCTCAGCATGGTAGCACAACATCAATCGTCGAGCCATTTTGGCAAGACGCGTGTGCGCCGCGATGACAAGGTAGTACTGCGGCACCGGCAGCGCAGCGCAGACTGATGTAGATGACAGCCGCAGCGCCACCGAGCTACTGCAGATATAAGAGCGGCACGCAGTCACGATGGATCTGTGTCGAGACTTTGATTCAAGGTTTCGAGCACTAGAGGTGCATATTCCTTTTGGACGCTTGATTGGAATCGGGGAAAGCGAGCGCATCCACACACACGCACACACACCTGCGAGGCTGAAGTCTTTGTCAGACGAGGCTGAGCTACGCTTCACCATAACATTGGTTACCTACTCACCGGTCGCGATATCGCCATCTTCTCAGCCGATATATGCACCACAACTCGAACGGGCCAATACTTTGACGAAACGTTTCTCGCTCAGGAAGGTCGCTTGCTAGGCAGCAGATTTGAACCACAGTGTTCACCAGGTATGTGAGGCTTCCGCCCCAGAACGATCCGGTGTTGATATGTAAATGAACGGTATAGCCAAGCACATTCGCTCCCAACAATATCAGCCTTGTTGAGTTCGGCTAGGCAGAACTCGTCATTTGCCAGATCCGCAGTAAGTCACTGCGGGGTAGTCGAGAGCGGTATCACAGAAGGCTGTAGCCTGGCAGTAGTGTTGGGTGGGATAGAGATCTGATTAGCAAGTGCTGTGGGTCGAATACAGAAACAGAGCGAGGTTAGGCCTCACTTGCGGCTCTGCTTGTGGATAAAAGGTGTGAGACACAGATCCTCCACTTTCTCCTCCTTGCTCCGAGACTATCTTACCTATAACTGCATTTTGTTGCATACGTCTCAAAACTCAGTTCGGAGTGTTACAAGTTCTTCCATAACCTCACACCACACAATACGTTCAGCGGACAAGGTATAAAACAGAGCCAGCCTCGCGAATTGGCAAGTTTGACACCCATGAACGATCCAGAAACGTCCAAGGAATCTTCCGATATCCCTTCTTTGCCTGAAACGGCAAACAAGAAACTTTCCGACACTTCGTCATCTTCACCAGTCATTGTAGCGACACCATCAGTAACTTCCGATCCAGACGATCTTTCTCTACACAAGCAAAGGATGGATTCATCACAGGAAACTATAGAGACTCAAACCATTGACAAAGGCCAGATGACGGAAGAGAAGCAGAGTTCTGTTTCTCCATCTGAAATCGAAAAGCCAGTAGTTGACGTGGTTATTGCAAAGAAAAAGACCGATAGACAGAAGAAGCACGTATCAAAGAAGTCGAGACAGAAAGCTGACGAGAGCTCTGTGTCTGACGTTAGTGACTCTGACAGCAGTAGTGAGTCTGAGGACAGTAGCGAGGACGAGAGGGCTAAGCGCAAGAAGAAGCGGAAGTTAGCTGCGAAGCGAGCGGCAGCGAAAAAGAAGAAGAAGCAGAAAGCAAAGGCGAAAGCTAAGAAGAGCAAGAGTAGAAAGCACAATCCCGTGAGCGAGAATGAAACCTCATCTGATTCTTCCGACTCAAGTTCCGACTCCGAATCTGAGGATGACGATAAGAAGAGGCGACGCAAAGCTTTGAAAGCGAAAGCCAGGAAGAAGAAAAACAACAAGCTCGAAAGTTCCAGCGATGAAAGCGCCTCAGATACTTCGAGCTCCTCTAGCAGCGGTTCTGATTCTGAAGACGAAAAGTCGAAACGCAAGCGAGCGAAAGCGAAGGCAAAGCGGAAGGCTAAGAAGTCAAAGAAGGTTGATAGCTCTGCATCATCATCAGAATTATCAACATCCGATGATGATACTTCCGTACCACCAACTCCTCCCCCGGAGCCCCCACTTCCAGGAGATGATCTCGACACCCAGGTGGCCAAAGTCAGTGGTATCCTCAGCAATCTCCAGGCTCAAAAGGCTTCTCTCAACGCCGCCGCAGCCGCAGCAGCCGTATCCACTACGAAACTTGAAAAGCCAGTCAAGAAGAATGTCCTTGAATTCAAGCGTGTCGATCAAGTTTTCGATATGAAGATTCGCGATTGGAAACTCGTTGAAAGTAATTCTGATCAGAAAGATGAGTTTGACTGCGTATTTACAGTACGGAGGCGACTCAACTGGGAAGGCAAGTATCAAGAGACTCAATTAGACATCAAGTCTAAGCTACTTCGCAATGCACTTCAAGACGTGTTCAAGGATTGCAAAAGCATCAGTCTTGTGGAAGATACACCGCAGATCGATCCTCACACACTTTTTCACTACTACGAGGAGCTGAAGACCTTCATCAAGAAGACTCTCAAACCAAAGCTGAAGAAGGCGAAGAAGACGAAAGATCAGAAGCGCCTTAAGCAGCAGATCGCGCAATGCAAACTTCTCCTGAGCTATATCGATGAAGATTACTCTGCGACACGCAAAGCGCTGCGACCGATGCTCAAAGCAGGTACAATCACGTATGATCTCGTATGGGCCTTGTTCAAGCCGAACACTATCGCCTATACACCCACATACCACAACAAAGATGACCCTCGCTGCTTCAAGGTTGACACCGCGTACGAATACGAGAGCTGGATGACAGGAATCAAATCCTGGTATGTAGACGGCAAGTATTTGGAGTACGACGGAAAGTCTTTCGGCCTCGGAGACCACCAGATCACGATCCAAGCCTTCAAGGGCCACAAGAAGATTACTAGCCTCTCTGCATATCCGTTGAAGTACCACAAAGATCCGGAGGTGAGTAGACGACCGACCCATTTGAAGCACCCTTATTAATGATTACCTAGGGTATCAGGAACCAACTCATCGAGCGGGGCAAAAAGTTCGTCGCTCTTCAAGGTATGAACTTTCGCTTACAAAAGGGTATCGCGTACATGAAGCACAAGAACAACATCATCCGCTTCATCATCAATGGCCGCGTCATGGTTGATCCGGCTATCTTCCGCCGCATCAATCCCAATTATCCGCTCTCGTACCTCAAGCAAGATGAGCTAGCCCAGAACGAGGAGAATGGCGAGTGTGATGACGAGAGCGACGATGATTGCTGCTGTGGATCTGACGAAGACGAAGAGAAAGAAGAGGAAGACAAGATGCGTATCGTCATGTGGAGAGACAAGAAAGGCAAGAAACACCCCATCCGTGTGCCACAAAGCGTGGTCGATAAGGAGAAGGGTGACAGCCCAGACAATTCGATCGAGACAGACGCGGACGGCAATGAGATTAAGCAGCAGGTCTTTACTGAAGAGGAGCTGATCATCGCGTCGCCAGTCGTGCTTGGATTCGCCTTTTCCGAAAAACTCTGGCTTGAGTTTTCGCTCTCTGGGATTGACAAGATCAAGTGGAATGCTGAGGCCTTTGACAGTCTCGTCTTACCTAGTCGCATCAAGCAGAATCTGAAAGGCTTGGTCTCGTCGCACCGCTTCAATGCTGCGAAGACGATCGACGACGTCATCCAAGGCAAGGGTAAGGGCCTCAACGTTGTGCTACATGGACCACCGGGTGTTGGAAAGACATTGACTGGCGAATCTATCGCTGAATACCTGAAGTGTCCGCTTTATGCCGTCTCGGCAGGCGAGCTAGGTACCAACAGTCGGTCACTCGAGACGGATCTCAATCGCATCATGGATATTACGCACTCCTGGGGCGCTATCCTTCTCCTTGATGAAGCAGATGTCTTCCTCGAAGCGCGTCAACCCCACGATATCCATCGTAACAGCCTCGTGTCTGTCTTCTTGCGTCTGACGGAGTACTACCAAGGCATCCTCTTCTTGACAACCAATCGTGTTGAGACATTTGACGAAGCTTTTCAGAGCAGGATTCACATGGGTATCCGGTACGAGAATCTACAGGCCAAGGCGAGGAAGAAGATCTGGCAGCATCATGTTGGTAAAGTGGAGCAGATGGGTCGGGAAGCCGAGGCGGAGAAGAAGAGCAAGAATAGCGCCAAAGAAGGCGGGGACGTGAAGACAAAGGTAGAGAAGATTGAGGAGGTGATGAAGCCGTTCACGGAAGCGGACTTTGACGAGCTAAGTAAGAAGAGTATGAATGGTCGACAGGTACGTCTTCTGGTTGCACGGAAAATATGGGAAGGTCAACTAACACATAATCGCAGATCAAGAACACGGTCAAAACGTCGCAATCGATCGCGCTCTCGGAGAAGTCAGTGTTCAGCATGGAGCATGTCAAGCGTGTGCTCGAGGTCGCTGAGGCGTTCGAGGATGACATGCGTGGCGGCAAGGGCTACCGCGATGCGATGAGGCAGTACACTTGATGCAGGTATTTCTATTGGCGGTGTAAGTCGACTCCAAGGTTGACGAAAGATATACTATTAGGCTGAATGTTCGAGCGACGGCTTTTCTCTTTGGTTTATACGTCTCATCTTGTACTCGGTCTGGTAAATATCAAAGACATGTTCAGATAACCTTGCTATCCATCGAACGTGTTGCTCGTGACAAGTCTGCGTGGTTGCATTCGAGGTGGTTTCGGGGAGTGTGTCAGCCACGATATGGCCGATACGGA